CAGCAGCGTCATTTGTTCTGTTGTTCACTTCATTCCAATTGAAATGTCCTGGACCGTGATAATGCCAAAGGCTGTTGGTATGCACCACCTTTGGCTTACCTTGCCGACCACATTTTATTCGGAAAGTCACTCTGAGAGACGATCCACTATGTCATATGGGCCTTCCCATGGAGAAGACAACTTAGGAGACTTCCCTTTGGTCTTTCTGGGATTATACAACCACACCATGTCTCCTGGTACAAAGCTGACTTCAGTAGACTTCTTATCATAACATAGCTTCATGGAATCAGCAGACATTTTTAAGTTTGAATGCACTTGATGATGAATATCATCCATCCTTTCAGACAACACTTTAACAAAGTCTGGCACATTTTCAGGCAACTCTTCATAAGGTGGGCGTCCTGGTATAAGATCCACTAGCAACCGAAGTTCCCGACCAAACATCAGCTTTGCTGGAGTGTATCCAGTGGCTTCATGTTCTGCTGTCCTATAGGCCATCAACAGTGGAGGGAGTAAGACATCCAAGTCATCTTGGTGGCTGTTACAAAACTTTACCAATTCCTGTCCCAGTGACAATTGTACTTTTGTACCATCCCATCAGACTGTGGGTGAAGTGGCGTTGTACTGGTCTTTCGTATGCCAAACAACTTGCAGCATTCATGGAACACAGCTGATTCAAATTTATGGCCTTGATCCGAATGCAGTTCGTATGGCATACCAAATCTGAAGAAGAAATCACTAATAGCCGAAGCTACAATTGTAGCTTTCTGATTTGGTATTGCATATGCCTCAGGCCACTTGGTGAAATAATCAATCACCACACAAATGTACTTGTTTCCAGCACGAATTTGGGGCAAGGGACCAGCAATGTCGATGGCTACTCTTTCCATTGGTGCACCAACTTGATATAACTTCATTGAAGCATGTCCCTTATGCTTGGGTCACCTTTTAGCACAACATGTACTGCATGTCCTGCACCATTCTTCCACATTTTGCCTCATACCTATCCAGTAAAATGTTTGCCGTACATGACTCAATGTCTTCTTAACTCCAAGATGTCCTCCTGTTAAACTATCATGGGAATGACGCAGCACAACTTCTCGTAACTTTCTTGGTATAACCGTTTGCCATTCGTCACTTTCCCATCTGCAGTTTCCCATCTCTGGACAAGAATACCATCTTCAAGCTTCAACTGGTCCCATTGGGCGCAATAATTCTTTGTTACAGGGGTTAAGCTAGACACCTTCTCCCAAGCAGTGTGCAAAACACTTGCTTGTAGAAAATCAATTATTGGCTTCAAATCTTGGTTTTTCTCCTGTTCTGCATTAATATCTATACTCAGTTCCACTTTACCATCATCAACTCCTTCAGTCACTTCAACTTCAGCTTGATTGCACCTGGTTATTTCAACCTCTCTTTTGCAGCAATGTGTGCATTCATTTTTGGAGTGTCTTCAGCTCAGTCCATCGGCATTTCCATGAAATTTTCCTTCTCTGTATTCAATATCATAATTATACTGGTCTAACTTTCCGTTCCAATGTGCCAGTTGTCCCTCTGGGTTCTTTAATGATCTTAACCAACATAATGCAGCATGGTCTGTCCTGATGGTAAACCTAACCCCATACAGGTAAGGATGGAAATATGTCAGACTCTGTACTGTAGCAGGGAGTTCCCTCCATGTCACACAGTAGTTCCTCTCTGATCTACTCAGGACCCTACTGAAGCAGGCCACCACATGTTCATTTTCACCCACTTTCTGAGACAACACTCCTCCAATTCTGACATTAATAGCATCATGATCCAGTTTGTGTGGCAGTGAGGGATTTGGAAGCTTTAAAAGTGGAGCTGAGGCCAATTTTTCTTTCAATGTCTTGAAAACATGCTGGCAAGAAACTGTCCATTTAAACTTCTGGCCTTTTTTTTGTCAAATCATGTGGTGGAGCAGTTATAGTTGCAAAGTCCTTCACAAACTTGCGGTAGTAAGTACAGAGTCCCAAGAAACTTCTTAGCTCTCCCACATTGTCTGGTGTTGGCCAATTACGCACTCGTTTCACCTTGTCAGGATCAGTTCACACACCATGCTCACTTACAATGTGACCCAAGTAAAGCACCTATTTCTGGAACAAGTGGCATTTCTTGGGATGGAGTTTGAGGTTTGCTGCTTTCAAACGCTTGAATACTTCCTCTAGCCAGGATACTTCTTCATCAAATGTTGCTACAAACACAATGACATCATCCAGGTACACTAGGGCTATCCTCCATTATAGGCCTTCCAGTACTCTCTCCATCAGCTTCTCAAATGCTGTTGGAGCATTGTTAAGCCTGAATGGCATCACACAGTATTGCCAGAGACATTGGCCATAACTAAATGCAGTCTTAGGTTTATCTGCTTCAGTCATTTTCACTAGATGGAAACCTGACTTTAAGTCCAGAGTTGAAAACCACCTGGCTCCACTTAGGGCATCAAGAGTATCATCAATTCTTGGCAGTGGGTATGAGTCTTTTTCGGTTATGCTGTTAAGAGCCCTGAAGTCCACACAGCAACTTTGGGTCCCATCCTTCTTCTGGACTAATACGACAGGAGCTGACCAGGGACTATCTGATTTCTCGACTATCCCTTCCTTAATTAGACCGTCCATGACCTTCTCTATCTCTCGTCGCTTTGCTGGAGCTATTCCCCTTGGAGGGATCTTTATAGGACGGTGATTGCCTGTGTTTATCCTGTGCTCTACCAGGTTTGTGCGTCCGAGGTCATGATCTCCTTTCGAAAAGACGTCAGCATAATTTGCCCAAAGTTTTTTTACCCGAAGAGCCT